TGGGCAGCACAAAAACAGGCTGTGAGCTGGATTTGGCCTATGGGGCATCGTATGCCAGTCCCCTACCCTAGACCATCCTTGGGTGGCCTTTCCTCCACATGATACGAAAGGGCATTCTGCCTACCCCTTCTACTTTCCAAGTTTGCATATCATTTTTCTGACAGTGCTTTCTCAAAGAATAAAATCAAGTCCGATCCCTTATTATGTTGGGTGGAGGTGGTAAAATTTTGATGTTAAAAAATTCTTCGTATTAGAAAGGTTGTGAACATGTTCCTAAGTTCAGAAAAGGATGGGTTTTGTTGGGAGAGGGAAGTGGGGATGCTAGTTTCAGACAGTTTAATTCTGGCTCATTAGACGGACTCTGTTGGCCAAAGTGGTTTAGGCAGTTTTATCCAGTTCTTCCGGGTACTTTGAAAGCTTCCCTGTTGAAAGTCTGTTAGCGCAAGTTCTTTTGCCCGACGCACAGTGAGACCAAACAAACCGAGACATCAGAGTTTGGAGCAGAGAACGGTTTATCGCAGAGCCATGCAAGGGAACGGGTTGCTCATGCTCAAAAAATACCCCGAGCTCCCCCCACAGGTTTCGGCAAAGCATTTTTTTTTTCTTTTTTTTTTTTTTTTTGCTGTATGCGAGCCTCTCACTGTTGTGGCCTCTCCCATTGTGGAGCACAGCCTCCGGACGCACAGGCTCAGCGGCCATGGCTCACGGGCCCAGCTGCTCCGCGGCATGTGGAATCTTCCCGGACCGGGGCACGAACCCGCGTCCCCTGCATCGGCAGGCCGACCCTCAACCACTGCGCCACCAGGGAAACCCTCAGCAAAGCAGTTTTAAAAGCCAGGTGAGGGAGGTGTGTCGCAGGTTATGTGATCAGCCTGTGCACAGTTCTCTGATTGGCTGATGGTGAGGCAACAGGGTGGTGTCACAGGGGTTGACATTATCAATCCTCAGGCTCCAGTAGGCCTGGGGGCCATGTACTCATGATCATCAAGTAGTGAACATCTTCCATTTGGTGCGGAGTTTTCACATCTGTAAAACAACTCAGGAAACGTGCATCAAATACTGTTGTCTAGGTACAGAGAGTAGCTAAAGCAGAGGATATGGGGAGGGGTCTGTCCTGGGAAGGCCCCATAGGGTCCTGCTCGGTTACAAGTCAACATTTTTGAACTGATTTACCTTGCTTAAAAATGCCTTTTCTAGCTATATAAAAAGGGGTCTCTGTACTTTTTGAGAGTGTGGTGATGCTATTTTTGGAGGGAGACCTCTGGGAACAAGGAGAAGAATCAGCAAGTGGCTTCCCTGTCTGGTTTATTCACCTTGACTTTCTCTTTGGAAACAAAGATAAATTGAGATTTCTTACCTGTTGAATTTTTGTAGATTTATCGAGATTCTCTTTTGCTGTTGGTTCCTAGCAGGAGGGCTTGAATAATGCATGGAGCGGTCACTTCTATTGATAAACACAGTTAATTTTAATTACAGGACTAAGATTTATGCTAATATTTTTTTCTTTATTTTTATGATTTTGAGTATACACGTGAATTAATTGCTTTTAACTAAAGAGGGGAAAATGCCTTTGGAGGCTTAATGACGTGTTTGGATGTGTTGGAGTGTATGGATTTGTTCTTTTCTCTATGTCTGTCTATTTTGTTAACATATTGGCTTGTTGGTATCTGAGCAATGCTTCACTGAAATGACCCTGGCTTATGGTGAGAAGTGCTCATTAAATACTCTGTTCAGTTATGTAAGGCATTGTTTTGGGGGACAGTTTCTTGTGAGGGAAAAGCCTTCTTCGGAGGATCACATACTCTGTTCATTCCATGAAAATTCTAAGAGGGCAGCCACCTTGTGGGAGACCAGCCCCGTATCTCTCAAATTGAAGATTTGGAATTTGATATAAAATTATTCCTAGAGAGCTTTAAAAACCAACCAGGGTCTAGGAACATGAAAAAGTCTCAGCCTACACTCTCTCTTGTTTACTAGGGTGGGGATGGGTTCTTAGTGATGGGGAACACTGGGGAGGGCCGACAAGGGTAGGGTCCCTGGATCTCTAAGTGCCAGGCAAAATGATTGTCATTCACAACTGTTTTTGCCTGGTTTCTGTTTCAAATCTGTGATTTTTTTTTTTTTTTTTTTCCGGTGTGTGTGTGTTGGGGTTTTCAGCTGATGTGATAGCTAGTGACAAAAACTTAGTTAAGGATGGGAAAGGCAATCCCCTCTGATTCATTTCTTTTTAAAATAATTATTTCACTAATTTATACCCCAATTTATACTTTGGTAGGGGGTTTATAAAAATGTATACAATATGAAAAGATAGAAAAACAAGTGAGGACATGGGGTGAAGGGAGCCATGCCTACTGCATGCTGAGCACTGTTCTCTGTGTCTGGAATATTCCAGTAAACACAACAGACAAATGAAATTAAAAATATATATATTTGGTGAGTTTATAAAACTAAAAAAAAAAAAAAAAACCCAAAAAATCCCAAACAAACTTCTCATCCTTATGGAGCTATGTTCTAGCCTGGGATAAAAGGAAATAGACAGTAAGTAAATACACAAGTATGTGATATGGTGTTATTTTGAGCTCTGTGGACAACAGTAAAACAAGGTTGGGGTGAGGGTGGGGTGGAAGGAGGGAGGAGTTGCTATTTATAAGGAAGGCCGCTCTGAGATGACATTTGATCTGAGACCTCGATGAAGTGAGGACTGGATCACGTGGCATCTGAAAGAAGAGTTTCAGATAGAGGGACCGTAGGTGTGGGGCTTGAAGCCCTCTCTGTCAGTGAGAGGAGTAGCCGGTGTGTTTGAGGAGAACCCAGGAGGCCAGAGGAGCTGGAGTGGAGGGGGAGAGTGGAAGGAGGTGGGGGGACCTCATAGGTCATCGTTAGAGTGAGATTTGCAGCCATACTGAGAGTGGTTGGTAGGGGTAAGGGAGGAAGCAGGGAGCCCCGTTAGGAGGGGAGGCTATTGTAATAATTCAGACAAGAGATGATGGTAACTTAGATTGGGGCTTACTAGTGGAGGTGGTAGGAAGTCGTTGGATTCTGCATATATTTTGAAGGAAATGCTGGATATATTTTTGGAGGATTTGCTGATGGATTGGATGTGTGTAAACAGTGGGAGAGAGGAGTCCAGATTTTGTCCTGAGTTACTGGGGGAATTGAGACGGATAAAGCTGAGGAGAGAATGCTCAACAAACTGGGAATGAAAGGGAACTTCCTCAACCTAATAAATGGTACCTACCAAAAAACCACAGCTCACATCATGCTTCATGGTGAAGACTGAGTGCTTTTCCCCTAAGAGCAGGAACAAGACAAGGATGTCCACTCTTGCCACATCTATTTAACATTGTGAAAGAGGTACTAGCCATGGCAGTTAAGCAAGAAAAAGAAATAAAAGACATCCAGATATGCAAGGAAGAAGTAAAACTAATTGTTTGCAGATGACATGGTCTTGTATATAGAAAATCCTAAGGAATCTACTTTAAAAACTATTAGAACTAATAAATGATTCAGAAAGGTTGCAGGAAACAAGACCAATATACAAAATTCAATTGTAGTTCTGTACATTAGCAGTGAACATTCTGGAAATGAAATTAAGAACATAATTCCATTTAATGCCATGAGACTGGATGAGATCAACCAGAGAGGGAAGGGGTAGGGGAGGTTGCAGAGAGAGGATGAGAATGTACAGGGTGTGTGTGTGTGTGTGTGTGTGTGCGCGCGCGCGCGCGCGCATGTGAGAGAGAGAGAGAGAGAGAGAGAGAAGATAGAGAGAGGGAAGAAAGACTTGAGATCAGAGCCCCAGGTCACCAATGTTTAAAAGTCAGGAGAAGCCAGTGAGGCACCTGGAAAACAAAAAAGACAGCCATGTCCTGGGGGCAGATGTTTGGGGAAGGAGGAGAAGTGGTCCACAGTATGTGATGCGCCGAAGGCTAAGATGAGGACTGGGGATTCACAGCTGAATATGTGGATGAGCATTGGTGAACGGCAAGAGAGAGAAAGAATGAGAGAGGGAGGAGCGAGGAAAAGGGGCTGTCCAGAACGAGTACACTTGTAAAACACAACAAAACTTGAGTACCAAAAACAATGAATATGCAAGCCCATTTTTTCCCTTAATTAGATTCAACAGACATGAATATTCCTCTCAAATTATTATAAGAGTCTGTAAACGCTAACTCCGTTTCTGTACCTGTCTCATCGTAGTCTGCAGCAGTTTGCGGAGTTACACTGGTGCCAGTCTGTGGAAGCCACTTTGCCCGTGTTGTGCAGGCCTAGGATTGGCTGGGGGGCGGTGGGTGGGGGAATGAGCTGAAATTCCTTCACCGTGGATTTGGTACAGCATATGCTGTGCAAGATGACAGCAGATACTTGTTAGAGAATAAACATCCATCTTAAGCTCCAAGAGGCTATATATCTCCTTGTTCAGAAGGCATGAAGCCTGAATTTTGGTCCCATGGAGGTTATAATCATGAGCCAGTCAGAAATCACAAGACGCATTTCTGAGCATTATCCCTTTCTATAAATGATAACACCTATCTGCTGTCTTCCTCCTAATCCTGACATTTGTGTGGTATTTTAGTCTGAATTGCTCATTTAAGCCTCATACAACCTTGTGAAGTGGGTGGATTTTTCATTTCTGTGAAGAAATGGGCTCTGGGAGATGAAACAACTTCTCCACCCTCATGCCGCTTGGAAGTGATGGAGCCGGGACTACCCTTTGAGACCTGTGAGCTTGCCACCAGACTGGGCTGTGGGACTTTTAATCCCCTTTCAGATAGGAGCTTAAGGTCAGCTGTAAAGTTCATGTCCTGCTTTGTTATGAATTTGCAGGTTGAAGTTGCCGTCCCTTTGGGTAGGTGGGTGTGTTCTCAACGTAGTAAGTAAATAGACTTTCATTCTGAACAGTTGCTGGATTACACTCTCGTTGGCTTTAAATTCTGGTCAGAAGTGCTATTGATTTCTAGAAATGCTGCCTTGTAACTGAGTTGTTCCCTCTTTCATAGTGTATGAATTATTTGCGTTCATCAGTCACATGGGGACATCTACCATGAGTGGACACTACGTTTGTCACATCAAAAAGGAAGGAAGGTGAGTCTTTTTGAGAAGGTAAACTAATATCTATGTTTTATTGAGGACCTGCTATGTACCAGGCACTCCACTAGGTGTTTCATATGTTATCTCATTTGGTTTTCATAATGGTCTTGTAGGGATAGACTCTTAAAGCCATTTTACACATCAGGGCACTAAGGCTCAGACAGGCTAAATAGCTTGATGTTTGCAGCTGTGTCAGAGCTAGTATTCAGAGTCACTCTTCACTGTCATAGCAAGGGGACCTCCCAAAGTAAAGACGCATCCCGCAGCAGAATGTGTGTCCATATTTGGAACCTCCCCAGGGTTGCCAGGTTTAGCCAACAAAACGAAACAAAACAAGAAAACCAGGATGCCCTATTACGTTTGAATTTCAGATAATGAATAACATTTTAGTATAAATATGTCTCAGCTGTTGCATGGGACATACTTGTATTAAAAAAGTATTTGTTGCTTATGTGAGATTCAAACGTGACTGGGTATCCTGTGTTTTATCTGGTAGCTCCAACACCCAGTGTTTGCCCTATTGTAGCTTTGGCTTCTTAAGAATTGTTAGGTGTGTGGTGAGCTAGGAATGAGACAGTTGTGGGGGGGGTGTAAGGCCGCTGCTCTCTTCAGAACCTTCTTCCGGGGCTGGATCCCCACGGGCCCCACTGATTTCCCTTCCTTGAGTTCCCACTGAGTGGCCTGGCCTGTGGGTCAGCACCCCTGCTTGAGGCAGTGCTTGGGCCACATGGACACTGGAGAAACACGTAACCTTGCCCTCTCCTGGTAGGACGTTGACCTCGTACTGCAGGAGTGACTGGTTCCCAGTCAGGAATCCACTGTGTTCCTTTTTGGTGTGTCTTTTAGTCTTGTCTTCTCAACTTGATTAATAAAATAGTTGAGCACAGGAACTTGATTTGTAGTGAATCCTTTTTATTACCAAGCATGATAGCTCTTTTAAAAATACTTAAGAAAAATAGCTCAATTATAATTTAAAAAGCCATGAAATTCATTATAAGGAATTTGTAAAATACAAAAACATACAGATAATGTGTTATTTGGAAGCCTAGAGAGAACTATTGTCTGTATTTTGATACATTTCCCTTTGTTTCATTGTTTTCACTGGGAGAGAGGGTATGTGTATGTCTGTATTTACAACTTTTCTAAAAGCTTAAAGTTTGTACACAGTACGTACAATTTTGTAACCTGCTTTCTCCCACTTCATATTATATTGTGATTATTTTCTTACTTTACCAGATATTCTTCAAAGACATTTTAATAGTTGTATAATAGTTCACTGCATGTCTATTTACTTTTGATTTTTAGCTAGTTTTTTTTTTTTTTTTTTTTTTTGCGGTACGTGGGCCTCTCACTGTTGTGGCCTCTCCCGTTGCGGAGCACAGGCTCCAGACGCGCAGGCTCAGCAGCCATGGCTCACGGGCCCAGCCGCTCCGTGGCATGTGGGATCTTCCCGGACCGGGGCACGAACCCGTGTCCCCTGCATCAGCAGGCGGACTCTCAACCACTGCGCCACCAGGGAAGCCCTGATTTTTAGCTAGTTTTATACCTAAGGCTGAAAAAAACACATACTTCTTTGACTGAAGTTCTGAGGCCATCTATGGATTTCTACAAGTGGAAATGTTTGGAGGCTCCTTAGGAACTACTTTTTGATTGAACTTGAGAATAAAAAAGCAGTTGTAATTTCCCACCAGCATTCTGTTTCTTTTTATACAACAGACTTGAGTTTGGTTTATCTTAAACCATCTTGATTATTTTAAGTATGGTGCAGTAACTTTCTCCTGCAGTTTCCTGGAACTGACTTAAATCCATCAAATGCTTCTGTCTTTTGTTTTCAGATGGGTGATCTACAATGACCACAAAGTTTGTGCCTCAGAAAGGCCCCCTAAAGACCTGGGCTACATGTACTTTTACCGCAGGATACCAAGCTAAACCTCAGACGTACAAATTGGCGAGAAGAAGCCATACACCTTTTTAATTTGCCAAAAAAAAAAAAAAAAAGTAAGAAGTTGGGACAGCCAGACATGAGGGAATACATGGGGTATTTATAGTTTATTTAAAGAACATCCATCATTTGACGCCTTCTGAAGTAGAACTGGGAGGAAATTTCTATTAGTGATGATACACTACTGTAGATAATTTTTCTTTTTATAAATGTTTAAGAAGAGGATGGTTAAAAAAAAAGTATTCCTGTTGCTGGTGGGGGATCTGCCACTGGCGCATCAACAGCAGGAAGTGCCGCCAATCCTCTGTTCTGCTTTGGGGGTCGGCGATAGTGGCCTCCAGAGGAACCAAGTAATGGGGCCAGTCGTGTCGCCTACCCACCGTAAACAAAAAGCCCACTTTCGTTTCATATCGAAAATCTGTAACTGGGCTGGGCTTTATTTGTGATATAAGTTTTTTTCATGACACACAATGATTTCTGACCTCTCCATGTAGAGTAGATTAGAACATCTACAATGAAAGATATTTTTAATTTAATCATATCAAAATTCATAATACGAGTGTGTGAATGTGTGTGAGAATGCGACTGAGAGTGTGAGACCTTTATAGTCAACTAGAAAATCTGTGACGGGTTGGTTTTTAAAGGTTAAAATAGTTGGTAGTAAGCATAGCTGGAAAAAGCAAGTCAATATTTTAAAGAAACTCTAACTCAGGAACAGTTTAAAAAATTAGTTCCCCGCTTAGATTTTCAGGCGTCAAAAGGGCTGTTGTCCCTTTCAGTGCTGTCCAGAATTCAGTTGGGTTTGTGACATTTGGTCGTGTGAACGCAGATGCCCCCAGCAGCACAGTGTTGTTCTTTGCCAAAGGTAGATGAATTCTGTTTCTCAGCAGCCCTTCCCCCAAGGCATAGTCATGTGTACTGTTAGTTAAAATAGCTGATCTCTTCTTACCATGACACATGACAACTCGCTGGAATCATGTTAAGTGCCCCAAATTTGTCTGTAATTTTCTCATCCCCCAGCTCTTCGCTTGTCTTCATTTCTATGTGTTCTGGGGCCAGAGTCTCATCTCTGCCCTTTGTTGGCTAATCACCTCCTGACTTACCTTCACTGCTTATCTGCTGTGACCAACAGTGTGATCTTCAGCCGTTTAAGGGTTTCAGATGCAAAGAAACTTTATATGACATTATGAAAGACCATTGTTTCCGTTTCGGTGTTTCAGCATTTTAGTTGCAACCTGGGATTAAATCAGAGTTTCAGATGTGATGAAAAAGTGGAACGATAGTGCTCTGTAATTTTCCTACTGCTCTGTACCAAATGCTAGGGTCTCTGGAATTTCTATTTCAGATTATTTAGTCAAATAAAAAAGGACTTATTGCTGTCTGCTTAATATGCATTTGATTGGTAGAAAGGATCTTCCTGGAGACTGTAGGAAAATAAAGTAGAACCAACTGGGTGAAATATAGCACAGAATTCCACAATTCTGTGAAGTCTGGAAGTTGGATTATGACATGTGAGTTATGAACAATCAGGGTTCTGGTTATGATTGGGGCCCTTCTCACAGGAGACGTGAGCAAGGGATGCAGAGCCTGAGGCCTGTGGCCCGTGGACCTGGGTGCGGCCCGTAGCTGGGCAAGTCCCTCATCTTTCCTTATGTGCACAGTGGTGTGATGACCCCCTGCCCTCTCTTTCCGACTGTGCTTTGTGGATCTGGAGAGATCTGATCGCTGACCATTTGAAGAGCAGCAGGTGGTGTGCCCAGTGGGTGGGCCCTAGTAGAGCGCGCTTCCTCTCGTCTCTCCTCTGACATTTTCTTCAGTTCGGGAACAAATGAGATTGGCAGAAGGAGGGAGCTCATGGGGCAGTAAATCTCTACTAAACTCTGCCCACTGGTGTCACCTTTTCACATTGTCTTGGACACCTCAAAGCAGCCCCGCTCGGTGACACGAGTCCCTGATTCCTGCAGAAACCCCCATGCTAAGCAGCCTTACGGAGTCCCGTTTCCTTAGGGCTGTAGTACCATAGAATAGTGACTCCAAACACACATCAAAAGTGACTTCTTTTCACCGCTGTTACAAAGGGAAGGCCTTTTCTGGGGGTGGGAGGGGGATTGGGGCTTTGGATTGAAATGTGGACAAAGTTGGCATGTGTATTTTGAGCAAATTAAAAAATTTTATAATAAAATCTTATAAAGTGAACGGTGTAAAGTCAGTATATAAGATTGCAGGCTCCACATTACTTAATTCATTAAGCAGAAAAAGAAATTTAGCCCTTTTGATACCTAAACCTATCGTAAGAAAGTGGAATATGGCTGCCTTTTTTTTCTCCTCACAAGACAAAGGGCTATTTCTACAAGGCAAAGTTTTGTATATGTGCTGTTCTTTATTTCAGATTGAGAGTTGGGAAAACTGGAGCAAATATTGGTTTTCTTTCATGCTTATAAATGTATTTGTATGTATATCTTAATATATTCAAGGCAGGCTTCCCTGGAATCAGAGTGTGGAATATACTGCTTAATTTTACACACGTATGTCGAGATTATTTATGACTAAAAACTGGAATAATGTGTGTATTTTGTCAACTGCTCATCAGCCTGTTAGGCGTCTTCTGTGTGAGGTGTGGTGGTGTAATTGTGAAAATTCTCACTGCGTGGGTGTATGTGTGAAAGAGAGCACTTTCTTCCTGTAAATATCTTTTAATATCCATTTGTGCAGAATCCTGATGAATGTGTCTTTGGAAAATACAGCGTATCAAAGTTTTTGTTTTGTCAATTGATCTAAGTGCCCACACAACTAATCAGAAATCCAGTTTGGTTCAGATTGGGATTTTTTTTTCAAGGGGAGAAAAAGTATGGGGGAAGGACTATTAAAGAAGAGTCATGTTTTAATGCCATTTTATGTCAACATTGCTTTAATGTTCTGAATTGACTTGCTGTTTTCTCCCACCTACAAGAGAATGTGCTTGCCATTGCCCCGTGTTCACCGTGGGCTGTAGGGCGTAGCGTGAGCCTGCTACTCCCAACATTGTTTTTTCCCTTGACCTGAACTGGATGGAGCCTTACCTGCAATTCATAGTGCGAGCACCTGCATTTGTAGCCCGACTCCACTTCTAAGTGTGGTGGGGCCGAGTCGCTTTACCTCTCTAGGCCTTTTTCCTTAAAATGAGTGGGTTAGACCAGATAAGCTCAGAAGTCGCTTTCTGCTCTAGCATTCGGTTCTATTTTTATTTTCCTGCAGTTACTACCTTGGTCAGACATGTAAGACGCGAGGGATCACATAGAGGTTCGATGTTATGGTTCTGGTTTGTTACAGCTCTCGCACCCCACTTTAGAACCTGCCTCGTTTTTAGTGTTTGCCACCCCAACTTCTACTCCCAATTTCTTGGGGAATTACTTTCTTTGGTGATTATCCCATTTTTTTCTCCCACTCCTGAAACTCTCCACTTCCCAGTCGGTAAGGTACTTTGTTACCATCCTCCTCAAAAATGAAAAATCTATTTAAAACACCACCTGCCCTGACAAACCTCAGAACTACCTTCTGCTAACTCTGTAACCTTTCTGGAGTATTATCTTACTCTAGTTGAGTTATAGCTATGATCCTCAAATAAGTTTTTCTACCACAGAAAGGATGTCTTTTCATCTGGTAGGCATCACTGTTGCTAAATGACATCATCCGTGTGGGCCGTCAATGGGGAGATGGCCAGTGTTGGGGGCAGGATAGGGGGATAGGATTAGATAAAATGTGATTCTATCCTTCACCTAAGGTCAGAAATCCTAGGTTACAGAACAAGATTCTGTACCCTTAAGTTGATGTATAAGATCGTCCACACAATGCCATGGAGATTCCCTACTCAGTAAATCATCCTGAAAGAGTTTGTGTCATAATTCTCTAGATCTGTGCTGTTCAGTACAGTTGTCCATGGCCACATGTGGCTAATGACCTCCGGAAATGTGTCTTGTGCACATTGAGGTTGTGCTGTACACAGGAAATGCACGCCAGGTTTGGAAGGCTTGGTACCAATAAAAGGGAATGTAAAATATTGCATCAATATTTTATATTGATTATATGCTAAGATGACCATATTTTAGATACATCAAGTAAGATGATACTAAAGTTTCACTTATTCCTTTTGATCTCTTTTTAATGTGGCTACCAAACAAATTGAAATTAGACACGAGTTGTACTTCTGTTGGACAGTGCTCTCCAGACCAGGTGACGTGAGGAGGCAGCGAGGTGCCGTAGGTGTGGAAGGGGGGGTCTGTAAAGCATCCAGACAGAAGCAGCACAAACATTTTTTTTTTGGAGTCGGGAGCAATGTGAGGCACAGAATGCCTTCCAGAAAGCAGATTTTTCTGCATAAGAACCAATATATATATAAGACCCCAATTAAAAACCAAAAGCCAACGAGCCCAAACCCTGTTTCTTCAGCTTTGTCTAGAAGCTGCCAACTCTGCATTTATTTTTCAAGCATCTTCCAGGTGCCAAGGATGTTAGCCACCTGAGGGTGTTGGGCAGATTTGTTTCACTTTGGGCAACATTCTCTTGTGGTTTCTCCTCCCCCGGTATTGTTTTGTCTGTTCAGAGCTGGGTGTGTGGAAATACCATGGAAATCTGGCCGCTCCTCCTGGCCTCAGCTGAGGCTGATCCTGTGGCCGCGCCTGTCTGCTTGGCAGGTTTTGATGTTGGCGCCTGAAAGAGTTTGTATTTATTTTGCACTAATCACAGTTGTAGTTTAAAATATCTCAAATGTTTTGGGAGACTATTTGCCTGTGATGGAAAGAGAGATGGATGATTTATTGCTTCAATTGTTTTAAAATTAAAAGCTATTCTCACAATCTGAGGTCCCTTTATGGCTGTTTTTTCTTTTTTTTCTTTTGCAAAATGCCACGTAAACCGATTCTGCCCTTTTGCAGGTTCTTATCCATCAGTGGAACAGGTAACTTGAGACAGTGACTAATTTTATTTCTTTTCAGGGCTTCTTTGTGTGGCCCCGAGGCTGCCAGGTCCCATCAGTAGTGGAATGTCGTCGATGGCACGATGTTAACTCTGTGAAGGAGGGAGGGGCAGGGCAGGTGGGAGTCTGCTGTCTTTCTCTACTGGGTGCCAGGTTGAATATTGGAATCGGTTGTGAGACCTTTCTGTGGTTCCCTGGCTCTCAGTTTGCTGGTGGCTTCCTTAATGCAGGTATAAGCAGAGTCAACATTAGTTGCATCAAGGGATTTCAGCATTTTTATGACATTGTGTTTCTAGGCTGTAATGAGTTTCCTATTGCTGCTGTAAACAAATTACCACAAACTGAGTGGCTTAAAACAATACATTTATTAGGTCAGAGGTCTGGAAATGGGTCTCACAGGGCTAAAAGCAAGGTGTTGGCAGGGAAGCCGTAGGAGAAAATCCATTCCTTCTTCCAGTTTCGGGAAGCTGTTGGCATTCCTTGGCTCATGACCTCCTGAGAGCATTGGCGTCACTCCAGTGTCTGCTTCCATTGGCACATCTCCTTTACTGGCTCTCCTGCCTCTTTCTTACAGAGACCCTCGGGATTACATTGGGTTCACCCAGATGGTCCAGAATAATCTTCCCATCTCAGGATCCTTAACTTACTCATAGCCGCAGTGTTCCTTTTGGCATGTAAGGTGATTAGGATGTGGATGTCTTTGGGCGGGGGGGTGGGGGGAGCATATTTTGCTTACCATATAGGCTAATTACCACTTAAAATATGTTTATTCAGTGCTTAAAACTTTTAAAAGAATGAACCAATGTATTTTTAAAAATCCAAGTGAAGTGACTGACATCAGTGTTGTGCCATCTGTTTTGGTGAGGGAGTAAGGGGAGAAGGAAATGATGGGGGGATAGTGAGGGGTTGTTCACCATTCAGAGAATTGTAAACTTTTAGGCCAGTGTTCGCAAGCCAGCTGCTGTTTACATTCACTTGATGTATCCCGTCGTGTCCAGTGGGAGAGTTTACCAGTGTGTGTATGTGCCGTTTGAACTCATGGTCCAGCTTTTCAAACGTCGTCAGTGGCAAACTTCAGTCACAGTGGAGAAATTTAACAGGAAAATGGTGAGTAATTCTCATCCCCATGCAAGCAATTATTTAAAAATCTACTTTCATTGAGGTAGGGAGGCAGGGTGGGATAATGGCCAGGGTAGAAGCATATAGACAAGTTCAAATACCTAATCCCAGGCCAGACTAGCTGTGTGACTTTGGTAAGCACTTAATATCCTGAGACTCAGTCTTCTCATCTGTTCAGTGGGCAGAATAAATACTTGTGATGAGTTATGTAAAGCATCTGACAGTCTGGTGGACACAGGATATTTTTACTGTGGTATTTTATGTCATCATTTTAACCCATATAGCGTTTTGACTCTGTGGAGGTTTTGACCCATTGTTTCAGTCTAAAACAATTTTTTTTAAATAATCAATTATACCAACATTGATGACTTTTTTTTTCAAAAGTATTTTTCTGGAGATAATTCCATTAAGCAAATTTATTTTGTTCATCTGTGTAGCACGGTTCATCATTCAATAACTACTAAACATCTATGTGCTAGGCATTGTTTTTCTTATGTATCAGTAAACAAAGTAGATATGGGTCTCTCTGCCCTTGCTGAGTTAATTTTCTACCAGGGAGGGGCAGATACTAAACATAGGAAGTAAGTAAATGATATGTTAAAAGCTGTTGAGTTCTATGGAGAAAAGAAGATGTAGATCAGTGGTGGAGGTGCAGGTTGAGGTACGAAATCAGGTACTCAGGGGAGTGCCTGATCAGGGAAGGCATCATGGGGAGGTGAGATTTGAAAGAAGACTTGAAGGAGGTGAAGGTGTCATCCAAACGTGTTTAAGGGAAGGATATGCTCGGCAGAGGGACAAGCTGGAGCACTAGCTCCGGAGTGGGAAAGTATCTGGTATGTCAGAGAAGCAGCAAGGGGACCACTGTGGTTGGGAGGGAGGGAGGAGTGGGGGAGACTGGTAGGAGAGGAGGAGAGAGGGGGCCAGATCGTCTGAGCCCGGGAGGCATTGGAAGGGCTTGACTCTAGGGTGGAATGGAGAGCCATTACAGGGTTTTGAGCAGAGCAATGACCTGCTCTGACCAAAGTTTCAGGGAGATTGTTCTTTGTTTAGCTTAGATGACAGGAGGGCAAGGACAGAAGTAGGGGCTACTGTGGTAGGCAAGGGGAGAGGATGTTGCTCAGAAGGGTGGAGGGTAGCAGTGGGGGTAGTGTGGACGGGCAGATTCTGGGTACATTTGAACGTAAGGCCAATAGAATCTCCTGATGGATAGGATGTGGGGTATGAGGGAATGAGAGTAGCTAAGGCTGCCCTTGAAGTTTTTGTTCTGAGCAATTGAAGAATGTAGTTGCAATCAACTAAGGTAGGAGGGTGTGGTGAGGTTACAAGTGGTGGTGGGGAAGGATGGTCAGGAGTCCGGTTTGGGGCATGCTGAGTTTGAAATTCCTATTAGACCTCCGTGGCCGATGTTGAGTAGGAAGTGGGACATGTCCACCTCTGGACTTTGAGAAGTCTGGACTGTAGATATCAAATTGGGAGTGGTTGGTATCTAAGTGGTTGGGTTTTTTTTTGTTTTGTTTTTTGCGGTACGCGGGCCTCTCACTGCTGTGGCCTCTCCCGTTGCGGAGCTCCAGATGCGCAGGCTCAGCGGCCATGGCTCACGGGCGCAGCCGCTCCGCGGCATGTGGGATCCTCCCGGACCGGGGCACGAACCCGTGTCCCCTGCATCGGCAGGCGGACTCTCAACCACTGCGCCACCCTCTAAGTGGTATTTAAAGCCATGGGCGTGGGTGGGATTATCAGTGGAGGGAGACAGGAAATAGAAGAGGTCCAGGGACTGAGCTCTTCAACGTAAGTCAGGGAGAAGATGAGCCAGCAAAGGA